CGAAATCGTGCGCTGGGCCCGTGTCGGCCGCACGCCCGCCGTCAGAGCCGAGATGAGGTGAGCACGGAGTGAGCTCAGCTGAGATGAGGTGAGTGTAGGAACGGGCTGGACCGAGACGGATCGGAAGTAACTGAGCCGGAGCTGGAGCGGAGGCGAGTCGAGCCGAGATATGCACTTTTCTGGAGCCATGCGGGGTATAATTGTGACGCTAGGGTTAAACTGAACATTGAAGCGATAATCTCGTTTTTCTGCTGGCGTTTCTCATGGGGAATTTTGATTGATGCAACATTTACCCATGGTGATTGCCTTTGTTGTGTAATGAGGCTTTGACATTGGCTACGTACTGCCATATGATAATGATATCGCGCAGTGGACATTGAACATGAGGGGATTTTGTGGATTCCTCGCTCAAATTCAGTGACTTGTTCTGGTTCTGTCTTATGTAGTTGACCTATACCTACCCATCGCGCTTCGTCTCCGGAAATCTTCCTGTAATCACACTGTCCTTTGAGCGGCGAATGTTTTTTGTCTGGTCCTACCGTCTCGAGGTGACCCATTTGGCGGTGGCGTCTGCGCCGTGCGCGCGGGCCCCGGTCGCGTCACGCCCCCTCTGTGCCGGGCATGTGACGCTCGTATATGTCACGTGACGCTCGTATATGTCACAGCGAGCGGCCGTGGACAAGGCCGCGCCACCTCCGCCGCCGGCCGGTCACCACCGCCCCCGGATGTAACGGTCCGGCTCGGACGGACGGGACGGGGATCACCGCGCCGACCGGCCGCTACGGAAGGACGACTGGTGACCGGTGACCAGTGACGTCTGGCATCACTGCCGAACGATTGGCGAGACAGTTCAGCACGGGATTCGGTCGAGAGGACGAGATAGCTAGCCAGCTTTGTCACCTCCGAGGAGGTAGTAAAACTGCGAATGGAACGGTGAAATATTGCTGATTGCGGCCGTCGGATGACTGGTCACTGGTCACTGACCGACTGTCATCACCTCTCCGCCGCGGCGGAACAGAACCATACCGCCGGAATCCGCCGGTGCCCAGCGCTGCGCGCAGATGGTCGTTTTTGCCGTATCTCGCCATCTGATTACCGACCATCGCGACAGTCGGACCGAGCATTATGTCTCGCCGGTAAAAACTGTGCGCAGTGGCCGGCGCAGAAATGAGATGGTCCGCTGCTGCCCAGTGGCCGCGGCTGGGGTTGTCGCCGACAGGTGTGCAGATAGTATCACCCGACAGGGTATGAGATGAATGTGGTCCGCGATAAGCTGGTTCATTATTTGCCGCATGATGCACTAAATGACTGGCTGAATCTGAACGGACATTCTAATATTTCATTTTAGACGTTCTGACAAATATGGAAGATGATAAACGTCGTTGGGAAAACGTCATTCCTGTCTTTGCGTATAAGTATGAACACGAGTACCTATTGTTTATTTACACTCATTTTATGTTGTCTTCGAGCGCCCACCTTTCTCAAAAGTTTTCATTTCGTCTGCAATTACGGAGCTCAGAGCGCTGTGTGCCTCTGTCTGTTGTCTGCTGGAGGTACCGGAGAGCCGGGAAAGGAGCGCTCACTCCCACCTCATGCACCCTGCGGACACTGCCGTCCGACCGCCCCCGGCCGCCTACCTCCCTTCACCGGCACCGCTAGCTACCGCGCCGCAAACAGCTTCGCCCAACGGCCATTTCACAGCGGTATTAATAATCGGCCAGCCGAGTTCAATATTTAATGAGTGCACCTCTCGCATGGCGCCCGCTCGTAAAGGGAAAGGCCCATAAAGTTGGCCTGCATGAATGGGAAAAGCGTAAACAGGCGGCAAAAAGTGGCACGGCCTGGGATCGTGCGCGGCGCCGGCGGCGCGGACTGCGCTGTGTGCCGCGCACAGAGCTGCGCCGTGCCCTAGGTCAGCGTTCGCGCCGCCGCCGCCGCCGCCGGGAGGGAGAACCTTCGGGTAGGTCGGGTCAGCGCGCCGTCCGCCGCGCGCCACCGGCCCAGCGGCGCGGCAGTAACCGCGCGCGAACGCCGGCGCCGTTTGAGGGCCGGTGCTGGGTACAGAGCGGCTGAGCGTCGATTGGTGGTCGGTCGGGACGTTTTTGCGGTGCTGGACTGCGCTGTGAGCGCAACTCGTCACTGGTGGAGGAGATTGACGGCCGATGGACACGCCATCCGCGGTGTCGCAGTGTCGCACGGTGTCATTGAGTGTCACGGTGCGCCACACATTCGCTTTGTGACATCGCGGCGGTGAGCCGTGAAGGGTCACAACCGTCCCCTGGTTCATCGACATTTGCGGTTTCTGTATTGTGTGTCCGCTGAAATCAGGGAACTGAAACGTGGATCACTCGTCGACAGTCACACCTACTCGGTTTGCTGTTTGCTGAGTTGTTTTCTAACCGTCTATGTGCATGACGCCAGGCGATACACACCTCTCTCGCTCACCTGACCTAATCACGGGACATTGCTCCGATTGCGGAACGGTTTCAGCCGCTAATCCTTGCCTCTCTCTCCCTCCCATACGGGTCCGAGCTCAGTACGGACTGCCGTTCCAGCGCTCTGCCGGCCTGAAAAAGGCCCGGGCGACATGAAATATACAGCATCGGTGCACGCTATCAGCGGCCACGAGCGCCGTAGATCTGTCGAGAGCGGCACGGTTTTTGCTCGTTAGCATAGTGAGGTCCTTTGGCAAGCGGTGCCGCCCTGGGAGCGACGAAGGCTTGGTATCTTCCCGAGACGAGCCGCACCAGAAGGACGGGTGTGAGGGGGTAGGTGGAGGTGGGGACGCGCTAGACCGTGGCGTGTTCAATGATTTATGGTGTTGTAGTTGCGTTGTTGTGGGAGTGAAGTTTCTCTTCGTCTTTTGCTGGGGAGAGTTTCAAAATGTTATTCGACGCCCGACGGCGACGGGGATAATTTTGCAGCGGTGAGGCCTGTAAGCATCTGATCTAGCGCTGTTCGTTCATATCTTAGAAACTAATTTTCATCCTGTAAGAGCTCACTAATTAGTAAACAAAATACATATAAGAGATCGCATTTGTCATTCAACGACCCGTTACTACACATATACTGCTTTATATTTCGGAAGATATCTCAGACCATCCGTCCGTCCCTCTCCTCTGTCACAGACCCATCTCTGGATCGACCCCGTCCTAGTTTCCTTCCGTTTGCAGCTCTTCGGAGCGGCGGCGGCAGCTCCCACCGGCTCCGCGCGGCTCTGCGAGCTGCCGTTCCGGTGTGCGGTGACAAATTGCCTCTCTGCTCATCTGCCGCCGGGCCGGCAGCACGCGCACTCACCGGGCAGCCTTTTTACCGGGCGCAGACCGTCCACTGACCGGAGGCGTCTCGCCAAACTGCACACAGGCACACAGACACCACAGACACACACACAAACACTCACAGTCGGCTCATCGCGGCGCCACGCAGCCTCTGGCGGAAATAAGAGGCCGACCGGCGGGCTGCGCGCGGTCGCCGCGGACGCTGCGCCTGCCTGCGCGCACGTCGCAATCAGCAGGCTAACTGTACCGGTCGTTAGACAGATCATGCGCAACCGACGGCTGGCGACAACACTGTGTCGACGCTCGGTGACGGCCGCTGCGGTGACGGCCGTTCGCGGCGAGCTGGTTCGGTGGCTCGCTCCCAGCCGAGTTTGGTGCGGAGCTGCGGGCGCAGCAGCGGAACGGCTGTGGTGGCTACGGAGGGTGCTGTCGAGCTTAGGTGTGGGTGAAATGAACTGTGCAAGCGGGTCGAAGCCCGCCACTGCTCTCCTAAAGCTTTGGACGTCTAGTCTGGGATCTGTGGTTTGGCGTGGTACTGAGGCACTGAACGGCGTTTCTTGCAGCTCACCGGTATCGGTCTGGCCACGCTGAAGGGTGTTGTTATGACTCGAATAGCACGGCTGTGTTTTGCTGGGGCGATCGGCCGAGCAAAACATGGTAACTCCTCCCAAATGAGATCCTCAGCCGTCAAACTTGAAACTGATGATAAGAATGCAGCTTCGAAGGCATGCGACCTGGCGTATTTACATGTGCAATTTTTTGTGAGAATATCGCAAAGTACACCGATTACTTCCATTGTATTCCGGCTTCTTTTGCAGTGTAAGTCGTAGCAGCGCACCTTTTAGCGTTATGAAGTATGATGAACACATTGATAATCTTTCATCCTTAAGTTCTCGAGCTCTTCACTTCTCTTTTGGTAATGCGCCCATGATTACCATTCAATCGACACCTCCACTATGTATACCCTGCGGCGGTAGATCCTGTAGCGGGGAGTGCCGCCCCGCCGCATACAGTCTCCGGTGTTACCGTCTCATTGCTGCTCTGCTGGAGTCACCGCCGACGAGACCGTCCGCCCCCGCTCCCGCCCCCGCCCGCCAGCTCTGTCCTCACCCCTGTCCCATGCATCCTTCAAGCCGCGCAACTCGCGAGTTGTTTCGGTTTTTACCTGCATGTCGCGCTGCGGCAGTCGCGGAGAACGCTGCGACAAGCTCGGCGCGCGGCGACAACCGCGGCGCAGCGGTGAGCGTTTGATGGACGGCCTCTGCGCCTGTGTCTCCGCCCTGTGAAGGCAGAACGGGGCGGGCCGGGACCGGGTGTGAACAGACGGCGGCGGGCGGGGCGGCGCCGCTAGTGGCACTCGCTGAAGTGCCCACTGACTGATGGGTTTTCATTAGCCCAGTGTGATGGACCGTGCCCGCCTCATGTGCTCATCGATCACACGCACAGATGAGATGATGAAAATATCAAACATGACATCTTTTCTGTGTAGATCTAACCGAATCTGTGTTTGGCGGAAATCGTGTGCCTCAATTTCACCAAACTCCGTTGCGACATATCAAACCATAGTCAAACAGTTGTCCTTTTCAATCTATTTCAACGACAAAAGCCCATCCATTTTTGATACGGTGCCAATCGTTCCCCAGTGCCGTCCCATAAAAGCCGCGTGTGTGCGGACCGTTTTGCTGGGACATCATCTAATGGCCCCCTCCCTCCTGTCCACAGCGGCCAGCTACATCAACAACTACATCAACTACGCACCGACGCCGATGCGTCCCGAGTGGAAGCGCTACAAGCAGTACAGCAAGTCCGACCTGCAGCAGGCGCTGGACGCGGTGCGCGGAGGACTCACCGCTCTTCAGGTGGGTCGGGGTGTGGAGGAGGGAGTGGTGGTACACAAATCTGGCACATAGGTGGTTGTCAATTTGTCTATAGTTCACTTTGTGGAACGTTTTTGAAATTGTCGTGCAGTTCACTTTGTGGAACGTTTTTGATATTGTCGTGCATCGGTGTGGTTAACATCGAGCCTATCATTTATGCACTTTTGCATAGACCGCTTTTAGTTTTGACTTTGGTGTCATTAGTCATCAAGCTTCTTTCTTAAGTTGTGAAAGTGTACTTTTTAACGAAAAAGCGTATTGATTAAATCTCTTAGCTCTGGACGAGTTTCGGTGTCATTGTAGGTGTAATTGATTCGAGAGTCAGAATCCGATATAAGTTATTGTTAGAAGGCTCCTTTCTGCGCAAGAAGTGTCCGATTTTCTATTTTCCCTCTCCCGTTGCTGACGTGCCCCACTCTCGGCAGGCGTCTCGCAAGTTCCACGTTCCGTCCCGCACGCTGTACGACAAGATCAAGAAGCTGGGCATCCCGACGATGCCTCGTCGCTACCCGCGCTCTGTGACTGCCGTGCCGCCGTCCCAGGTGCCCGCCTTCCCGACCCCACCGCCGCCGCCAGCCGCCGAGGACGACTCCAGTCAGCAGAGCGGCGGACACCGCACCAACGGCAGTAGCGGAGGGGGTGGAGAGGCTGAGGGACAGCGGCAGCCCATGGAGCTGACGGTACCCCGTCGGCGCCCCAGCGGAGGCGCGGAGAGGGAGGTGGGGGAAGATGGTCTGAAGAGGGACGCCGCCGGTCTGTGCGCCGCGCAGCTCACCAACGGCCCACCGGGGATGCCCGGCCTGCGTCCGATGACTGGCGTGACTCCCGCCGTCTTCCCTCCGCCCGGCGATGAAGAGGACCGGCGGCGCGCCAATGGCGACGCCAGCGGCATGCAGCGGCAGCCGATGGAACTAGTAGTTGGTAGGCGGCACCCCAGCGGCGGTCTGGAGCGGGAGCTGGGGGACGACGGGCTCAAACGGCCCCGGGAGGAGGCGGACGACGCCCGGGAGCTGGACGTGGTGGCCTAGGTGGTCTGCAGGAGACAGACGCGGTCTGTCGGTACACCCGCCGACCGGGCCAGATAGTGATTTAGCAACGGAGCATTCCAGGGATCCGTGTCTCCAGCTCACGACAAACGTAACCATATCAAAAAATGCGCGGCCGCCGCGGGCAGGCGGCCGGTGCGGCTATTTATCGTAGAGGAGGGCCATTAGCAGCCCAGGGACGGAGCACCCACTCGGGCAGAGCTCCTGCACTGTACAAATTGTCGCGTGCAATGCCGATAGCACGGTGCAAGTCGGCATCTTTTGCTCAACGGAGAATCAAACTAGCCGCAGGGCGGTCACTGATGATATTCCTCAGACAGTGTCTGCTGGTTTTGTAATTTTGGATTTCGAAGTGGTTCTTTGGTATTGCCACCGTTTCTTTCGGAAATACTCGTATTTACATTCTTGCCACTACAAGGGCAATAACGGCAGGTCCATTTTGCTATGCAATGTTACGTTTCTGTTTAGTTACTCATGTATATCATGTCGTTATTCAGAGCCCTCAGATCTTGCTAGCCCGAGCTGTGTTTACAACGATGTTCTGGTGTCTTCCTGTCACCGGTTACCGAGTGAGCTGCATTGTCCGGTGCGGCGCATTGCGGACGAATGTCGAGATGTTTTGTTAGTTTGTAGAACGAGCCGTGTGCTCGCTGTTGATCCGTTTATCTCTAAGTGTGCAGAGCACCCAACTCAGCCTGCCTCAGGCCGACGAGTCCTGAGCGCTCCCAGAAATCAAAACCTCCGTCGCTGATATTATGTCGTGATATTTTATTATATATACACATATACGCGTTGTCGGGACGACGGCTCGCGAGCGGCGGTCTCCGATCCGATATTACCATGTATCTCAGAGATTAGTGCTGGGACGGCGGACAGGGGCCGTACCCCGCCCCTCGGGAGACTGCACCGTCTATGCATTGGCTGTCTGTGGTCTGTCGTAGTCGTGGTGCGCCGCGCGCAAGCTGCTCGCTCACTGCCGCACGTGCACTGGCCGTTTCTGCCTGTCTGATGCGATGTTTTGTTGTTTTTGATGTACTGTTGACTGTGGCTCTGAGAGATGCTGTTTGTGCACTGATAGTTTGTTCTGAAGACATAGGCTGTAAGTGACATACCATGCCTGAAAATATGCACCACTAGACGAGCAGCGTGAACTGCGTCTGTACGGGACTGACGCAGCGGGCTTGCGTCGCTACATTCCGCTTTGTATCACGTTTGACAAGCCCATGTGTGAGTGTGTGAATGTGTGACTTTGAGTGAGTTTGAAGGGGAGCTCTCCTGTGACCGAAGGTAGTAGCTGGTGCGCTGTTCTGTCGGCCTCGCGCCGTGCCGTCCAAGGTAGATTGGTCACACCAGGTCCGGCAACCAGTCGCAGCTAGCCGTTAGCTAGCCGGCTAGCCGGGGCGCATAGCCGGAGCGGCAGGAGAGGAGGATATTTTTGTTACTGCCAGTTGCGTCCACGGCACAGAGGTCAGCTGTTGTCTGTTATTTACTTGCTAGAACTAATTTATGGGATTGGTGTAGATACGGTGTAAATAAATGCGTCCGTTCTTACCGTGGTGTTTTGAGATGGTGTTTGAGCTTGGACATTGATGTGAGGATGGACTGGAGTTGATGGAATGCGAGCAGTGAATGGCTTGTGGCTAGTTATCGAGATGAAAAAAAAAGAACGAACGATTCCCAAGCAAAACAATTTATAGTTCGCCAGCTTGTTATGGCTGGCACTAGGGCTCCAGGCCGTTCAGTCACCGATCAGCTGTCTGGAGGGTGTCCAGCCAGTAGACAGTTTCCTGTATGGAAATGGTCTCACCAACCTTACCTGCGAAGCACATGGTAGGAGAGAGCGCGACAGAGAACGGACCATCTCCCTTCAGACTACCAGGAAATATGAATCGTCCCATAAGCTGGGGCTGGAGGACGCCGTATCCACTATCCAGCCCTTCTGCTTCACGATCAGCGTAATATGCTGAGCTTGCTATGAGGCAGTTTTGGAATATAAAATCTGCCAATATCGGGGAGAACTCATTGACCCGTCCACTTGAAAAAGCGTGCGGTCCATGATAATGCTCCGGTGACGGGTCTTTAAATTGACTGGAGCGCCATCTGTAAGCAAGTGGGAGAATAGCATGCTCAGGTATACCTGATGGACTCGCCGCTAGGTGGCTTCATTTCGTACCTTTCGATGACAGGCGACCGTCATGCTAACTTTATGGACATCCGTTCATGTCGGTATTCCCTTCCATTACACGCACACACAATCCAACCGTTCCATGCTTCTATCCTCAGGATACTTAAATCCTTCTCCTCCACACCGCCACCCCTCTCCGGGCTGGACAGGCAACTTTATCTCATGCGGGCTGCTCCCTTGGAGCGGCACCGCTGCTCCCGAGGGAGCGCACCCCGTAGCCGGGTGCAGTGAGTGCCTTGGGGCTGGGTGGCCTGTCCTCTGGACGGGCTCAGCCCCGGCGACTCACTAGGGTGCCTGCCCAGACCAATGTCTCCCCCTACCTATCATCCTCCCGGCTCTGAAATGGTCTCATTGGACCGAAAGGGCCTAACCCAACAAAAATGTTTACACACACAAGTCACAGAGGAATGAGGGCGCAAGGTCGTGCACCCGTTATCGCTGTCTTCAGGACCAGCTCACCCGCATCCTGACCTAGCTCATCATTTCCGGGCTGACGGACGATCACCTCAGTCAGCCGGCGGGCGAGGTTAGGCCCGTTTGGGGAAATACTTCTAATGGCCGTATTCGCTACTTTATGGACCTCGTTGTTACGTAATTTATCTTTACGAGCATTTTTTTTTAGCAAACTGAAAATCCCTAGGAAGTATTATTCTATAAGAGCAGGCTTGCCTCATCACATCATGAATGCCCTTCGCTGTCATGCCCCGGCCTCCCCCACGCGCGGCCGATGACCTTGACCGCTCGGTAGAGGTCAGAAACTTCTACGCAGCGCGTGAATATATCGGTGGCAGGCGCATAGCAGCCGCAGTGCAGCACGCGTTCAGTCCTTTTTCTCTGGTGCCTTATCGTGCTTCAGTGCATTTCGTGATTGCGAGTGAAAGAAACTGTAGGCGAGTTTGACGTCAGGCAGTGACTGTTTGCCTGATTGAGCTGACTACTGAAGCCATGCAACCGGATATCGGCGAAAAACAATGTAGGCTGGGAAACCGCCTCGAATAGCTGAACGGACGGTAATTGGTAAGTATTCTTTTATATAAGCTATTCTGATTTCAATTAGTCTGTTGGATTTCTTATTCGTAAAATAAATTTTCTATACCTACCAACATAATTAGGCTAGGCATCTGCCTACTATCATGTGCAATGTCAATGTGCATCATGTCTGATGGCTGCCTATAACCACTAACGCGGGTAGGCCTGCCTATGCAGTTGTTTATTATTGTTGGGCTGCGTATCACGCAGAAAATGACCGGCATCCCTTTCGCAATTATCATGCTATCGTCGGGCCATATAGCACTAATCCCAAAGGCGTACTTACTGGGTGCACCGCAGCGTCGGGTATCACAGCGCTGCGTGCGTGTACCGGCCATATGCAACGATATCGCTACAGGCTGCTTGTGTCATTCCATATCGTCTGTGACGGTTGCATTGCTGATGAAGTTGTTAGCGAGCCTTGCACTTCTATACTAAGTGGCATTATCAGACAACCAATTTTCACGTTAGATTAAAATGTATTATTTTTTGCAGTCAAAGCCTGTGAGGCCAACATATGAAGTAAAGAGCAAGTAGCCTACGAAATATACCTATATGTTAGGTACTATATATGAATAAATAAGTAAAACAAAACTAAACACTCGGTAAGATCTACCAAGGTGTGTTGCTCGTGCGCTTATGACAGTCAGCCGTATCAATAAGAAAGGATAATATCCATCCGATATGTAAGACTGATTTCTGTAAGCTATTACACCAAGAACATGACGGGGTAGCGGGTCTGTGTCTCGCCCACACCCACATCGCTTACCAGTACCATCCCTGACAGCCTGGAACACCGTACGCGTGGACCAGTCAGTGAATGGGCGCATTGACGAAATATTCATCACCATAAATATCAAATGGGTCCACAGCGATGCCACACAAAAAGCTCTGACGCAAGACAGGCACGCATTCCATACCATTGTATAGGAATGACAGTGCACAGTGGACGGGTCTGCATCACAATAGGCCAAATATCGGACGCTTGCAACATTTGTACGCAGGCCTCTAGTGGATGAGTTCCCTGTAAATCGGTCGGGGCGGGAGGGATAGTCGGCGTCGACGCGTCGACGGCGACGCTGCTGATCCATCATCGTTCGTCGTCGTCGGCGGCGCTCATTAGGGTTTAATATGCGAAGGACGACGGTCTCCGCAGCGGCCACGAACGGGGAGACCGTTATTGAATCAGGAAGCCGGCGAGAGCCACGCACGACCACCGACGCCATTCCGTCAAACGGCCGCGGTGCAGTGGCGGCGGAACCGCGGAGACGGGGGGGAGAGAGAGAGAGAGAGAGAGAGAGAGAGAGAGAGAGAGAGAGAGAGAGAGAGAGAGAGAGAGAGAGAGAGAGAGAGAGAGAGAGAGAGAGAGAGAGAGAGAGAGAGAGAGAGAGAAAGGAGAGGGAGAGAGAGAGAGAGAGAGAGAGAGAGAGAGAGAGAGAGAGAGAGAGAGAGAGAGAGAGAGAGAGAGAGAGAGAGAGAGAGAGACGCGCTATAACAGTTACACTGCAGAGAGCGCTGCAGATGACCATCATTTCATTTTTCCGAGCTGGATGGCATGTGAAATGAAGCAGCAAGGAAAAGCGCCGGTTTCAAATTGGACCTAATATCATATTCTGTCGATTTAGTCACTAAGTGCATAGCTCGGTCAAGCCAAAATCCAAAGTGGTTTGGCCATCGATGCATAACCAAAATTACAACGGCGATTTAAGCATGTGAATTTTGATGCAAGCCAGTCGTTAGAAAGCCGGAACTTCAATCATTTCAAGGTAAACTAATTATCAAATTTGATGCTATTCTGGCACGTTAAGTTACAGTCGGCTCAGTTCAGTTTCCTTGCAACAAAGAAGCCATAAAAGCACAGCGCCGCGAAAAGCTGCTGCCCCAGGTCCTTGGGATAGTGTTTCTCTGGTGGTCACATGGCCAAGCATCTCTCCGCCAATTCTGACCGGCCGTGTCTGAGGCCGGCCTGCCTCTCTGGCCGGACGGTGGTCGTCTCTAATGATCCTCGCCTCTGGGCCGCTCCTCTCTGCTGAGTTCCGGTTCCTCCAGTCCGGAGAGCACCACCCGGAATCAATGGAGGGGACGGCATTCACGGCCGCCGCCGACCGGAGCCAGACACCACTTGAGTTTATGGCCGGGCACTGCCACTGCGGTGGAGAGGGGGGGAGGGAGGTTAGGGGTGAAGGACACCGCGCGGCATCGGCACTGATGGGTCAGTCCGGGACATTTCCGGAGTTTGAAGTGGTGTTCCGGCGGCTGAGATAGTACGGTCAAACAGCGGTGAAAGTCTGGGGTAAATGCAAGCAAAAGAGCCATTGTTGGGACTGTGAATACGTTCCATCTGCTTATAAAAAACTGCCTCTCAGTCTACAAAGTGTTTCATTTTTTTTTTTACTTTGACCATGCAAATCTTATTCAACTTTTGCATGTTGCTAAGCAACTTCAGTTCCACTCGTATAATACGCCGAAAAACATACAATTTCATTACATGATTGTGTAAACGGATCCATTTGGTACCACAAAACCTATCATTTAAAGTTTTGCCGGCCTTTCTTGCAACATCATTTTACCCAGAATTAGCTACATTCCACCTATATGTTGGCCTTTTGGTCGTCCATCAAACACCTGTTCTTGTCGAAATCGATAGCGACGGCCCCAAATCGGTGTCAAAACACTGGCTCATTAACGCATTGAGTCGCGGCTAAAACGGCCCCGCCGCCGGGTCGGTTAGTATAATGGGACGGGGATTTCAGGCCGCTGTGCAAATTTCATCTGCACACAAAGCTCAGCGATAACGCTAGGTACGGCCATGGTAACCACGTTGCACCCAGTGCCGCGGCTACCGTTCCAGTGAAGCGCAGTGTCAAGCTGTTCATGCTTGCCTGGGTGTATAATATGGGGGTTGTGTATGAGTACTATCGTTACGATCACTTCACCTTCACACTTCATCGTTTTTCAGTTGAATCGATTGTTCAGCGTAGGTATTTATTCCGTTTGTTTTTCATTTATTGCATTGTAGATTCTTCTCGCTACCCGCCCCCCCCCCCACCTCATACAATTTCACACTCCCGCCATACCCCGCACGCTATCGCATCTCTCTCCCGTGTACGGTACGGGCGCGGCCCCTGGCAGTCCCCCCCCCCCCCCCGACCCCACCGGGACTGGGGCTGAGGGAGCGGGCGGGGGAGGGGCTGAATAGCTCGCGCGAGCCGAAGAGACCGACCCAGACTTGGTAGGTGAATACACGATGAGATAATGAGGCCACGCCCGCTGATTGGTGCAGCCTTTGAGTGTCGCTTCGTTATCCGGTTAGCACACGTGACTGCTCCGTTCCGTC